GACACAAAATTGTAAATTCATGAAGCTGGTGCAGTTATGTTTGTGGCAAGAGAAAAGTATATGGAGACACTGAGAAGGCCACCTAATCCAGTTGTTCATGGTAATCTGAGCATACTTTCTGGAAGAAGATAATAAGGCCAAGAAACATTGAATTGCAAAGACTGATATCTAGGTCCAAACAAGACTAGGCAACTAACTTGTTCAATGTCAATCAGCTTAAAAGAGAGAGCTGAACTGGGATCTACATGTCTTTTTTGGAGAGTGATCCCATGGATCAATCCATAGGTTTCTGCTGAGTAAGTTCTATGTGCTGAGCTCTTATGGAGGCATATGTAGAGGTTTTTAAAAATCAACATGCAAATTTTATGGTATAGTATGTGAATTATATCTCAATAAAGCTGTTTTTTTTTAATTTGTTTTTTTTTAATTTATTTATTTATTTTGTTACAGATATTTTACCTTTTTTACACCATTGGCACCCCCCTCCCCACTCCACGCTCGCCCCGTCCCCGGCTTAGTTGTCCATGTCCATTGGTCATGCATACATGCATATAAGTTCTGTGGTTTATCTCTTCCCACCCCCCCACCTTTTATTTTACTTGTTTCCTTCATTGATTTTAGAGAAAGAGGAAGTGAGAGGGAGAGAGAGATAGAAACATCGATGAGAAAGAACAGATTGGCCACTTCCTGCATGCCCCCACTGGGTTCGGATGCACAACCTGGGCATGTGTCCTGGTCAGGATTTGAACTGGCAACTTCTTGGTGCATGGGTTGACGCTCAATCACTGAGCCACACTGGCCAGACTGTTTTTTATTTTTTTGTTTTTATATCCAGCATACACCCAGCAATCACAAGTTGCTTCTAAATACTATTCTTTTGATAAAAAGGAACAAAGGATCCTTGGAGAAATGGCAGAACCTAGAACTTGGGAGGAGACAGTAGAAGATGAGCTTGGAGAACCTTCTAGTGCCAGAAATGAAGGAAGTGTTCAAGAAACAAAAAGATGGAGGAATGTCAAAAGAACACAGAAGTTCCCAATGACCACAGGTGGAACAATTTAAACAACAAAAAAATTCATAATGTAGTATTGGATTTTAACTCAAAGTATAAAGTAAATATATGTAAGTCCTTACTGACATACATAAAAGACTAAATAAATAACAGGAGGAAAAAGGCAAGTCTGCCGAGAAGAATTTTTTAAATTTATGTAGGTACTCTTTCTGTAGGAAGTAGAACTTAACTTCCCACCATCTCGTCTTGAGGATGGACTGAATGTAGTGACTCTCTTCAAAGAACCAAACATGAAAAGGGAAAAATAGTAACTTGATAGTGGAGAAACCTGTCAGGTACCACTTTAACCAAGAAATCTAGTTAGCATTACCAGTAATAAGCAGGTGGATATCATGATATGATGAGAAAGACACTTCACTCCTGCTGTGTTCTTCCCCCAAACCCTGTCTAAAAATGGACAAAAAACAAACTTCACACAGATACAAATTGAGGAATTCTATAACATACCTGAAACATATTCTTCAAAACTGTCCAGGTCATGAAAAACAAGGGAAGACTGAGAAACTGTCACAGACCCAAGGAGACCAAGGAAACTTGATGACTAAAGTAATGTGATACCTTACATGGGATCTTGGAACAGAAAAAGTATATTTGTTAACCAACTTGTAAAGTCTGAATGAAGTCTAAAATTTGATAAGTAGTGATGTACCAGTGTTAGTCTCCTGGTTTTGATAAATGTACGATGCTAACATTAGTGAACACTATATGGACATTTTTTGTGCTATATCTGTAACATCTCTGTAAATCTAATATTATTCTAAAATAAAAAATGTATTTAAAGCATAAAACAAAATACAAGTCCACAGTGTTGGTTAGGATGTAGAGCAAGTAGAACTCTCATTCATCGTTGATGAAAATGTGAAGTGATACAACCACTTTGGAAAAGAGTTAAACTTAAAATATTAAATATATACCCACCATACAGCTCAGCCATTCCACTCCTAGGCATTTACACAAGAGAAAGGGAAACATGTACACAAAAAAGGCCTGTATGAGAATGTTCATAGCATCGTATTTACAGCAGATCAAAACTGAAAATAGTCATGAACAGGGGAATGGATATAGAGACCATAGTATACCCCTACAATGGCATACTACTCAGCAACAAAAGGAAACTAACTGCAATATGGACAAAGCTCAAGAACATTATGCCAAGCAAAAAAAGACAGATAAATGTGGAATAATAATTGTATGATATCATTTTTTTTTTTAAAATCTAGAACAAGCAAAACCAATGTATAGTGACATAAAACTGCTCAGTGGTTGCCTGCAGCCAGAAATTGGGCAGGGATAGACTGGAAAAAGACAAGAAAGAAATTTCTGGGATGATGGGAATATGTTATGTCTTGACTGTGGTGATGATTACAAAGGTGCATACATGAGTCAAAATTTCCCAAATGGTGCATTTAAAATGGTTTGATTGTATGTAAATTACACCTCAATGAAGTTGATCAAAAAGTGTAATGGTTAATTTTATGTCAACTTGGCAGGCCACAATACTTAGATATTTCTTCAAACACAATTCTAGATGTTCCTGTGAAGGTTTTTATAAATATATTTTTTATTGAATCAAATATATACACACACACACACACATACATATATATATATATATATATATTCAATATTATTTTGCATTAGTTTCAGGTATATAACATAGTGGTTAAACAATCATATATTGTACAAAGTGTTCCCTTGATATTTTCAGTGCCCACCTGGCACCACGCATATTTATTACAATATTATTGACTATATTTCCTATGCTGTACTTTACATTCCTGTGACTATTCTGTAACAACCAATCTGTACTTCTAAATCCCTCCACCTTTTTCACCTAATGCCCCAACCCCTTCCCCTCTGGCAACCCTCAGTCTGTTCTCTGTATTTATGTGTTCCTGTTTTGTTTGTCTGTTTATATTGTTCTTTCTATTCCACATGTAAGCGAAATCATATGGTATTTGTCTTTCTCTGTCTGCCTTTTTTCACTCAGCACAATACCCTCTAGGTCCATCTATGCTGTCAAAAAATGCTAAGATTTTATTCTCTTTTATGGCCGAGTAATATGTTATGGCATATATGTAACACAGCTTTTATATCCACTCATTTATTGATGGGCACTTGGGTTCTGTGAAGGTATTTGTTAGGTGAGATTAACATTTAAATCAGTAGATTTTGAATAAAGCAGATTACCTCCATAATGTGAGTGGGCCATATCCAAGAGAATTGGCAGCAAACTGCCTCTGGACTTAAATGGCAACTCTTCTCTGGGTCCCCAGCTTGCCATCCAACACTACAAATTTTGGACTTGCCAAGTCTCCACAATGACCTGAAGCAATTCCTTATAATTAATCTCCTTTGTCCCATCCGCACATACACACACCTATACTATTGGTTCTGTTTTTCTGGAAAACCCTAATACAAGGGGGGAAAAAAGTAAGCCTGTATAGTAACTCTTCCCTAAGAATGTATGTCCTTGTTGGAGAGAGAAGACCAACATGACCACAGAATTAATACAAGAATGAACATTATTAAGATGTACAAATAGCCAGTTATAAAAGTAGTAATGGAGTGGTAAAATACAGCATAAGGAATATAGTCAATGATATTGTGCCAGATGGGTATCAAACTTATCAGGGTGATCACTTTGTAAGGTATATAAATGTTTGTACCCCTGAAACTAATATTATAATGTATGTCAACTGTAATTGAAAATAAAACTTAAATATGAATAAAGAAATAAACCTTCAAGGAAAAAAGACAAACATGACATTTCTTCTCATTATGCAACTCCAGTTTCTCTGTCTACAAAAATCAGTATGAGATGAGTCTTTAGTGAATAACTGACAGTTGAGCCCTGGCTGGTTTGGCTCAATGGTTAGAGCATCAGCCTGCGGTCCAGAGAGACCCGGGTTTGGTTGCCTCTTAGGGCGCGTACCTCGGTTGCAGTTTATCCCCGGCCCTGGTTGGTCGTGTGGGTGGCCACCACTCGATGTGTCCCTTTCACATTGATGTTTCTCTCTCTTTGTTTCTCTCTCTCCCTCCCACTCTATCTGAACAAAAAATGGAAAAATGTCCTCAGGTGAGGTTAAAAAAAAAAGAAGATGTAATAACTGACAGTTGTAAGATTTGGGTTAACTGTGGACTTTGAGTTACTGTGATTCAGTTAAAAGATGACTTCAGAGTCTGGTTTTCAAATGGATGCAGTGTTTTTTTGTGCACATCCCTATATTTTGTGCATCTATGAATTAAGCTTCCCAGAGATGACTTATAGACTTGCTTATTATTTATCTTTGAGGAACTGTGTTTGTTCCCTTTATCTCTGCATTGGTATCTCTGCCCTGTTTGGGGAAACCAGGTAGTATAAACATCCTAGAGAAAGGTGTGATGTCTCTACTTTGACCTTCCTGATCTCTGGGAACTTCTGATTTGACGGTTCATTTGATTCTTTGGCAAAGCTTTCTGAGGCCAGTTTTGTGACTATTTCTACAGATGGTTTCATTTCTGTGATTGGTTTTTCATTCCCTTTTTACTGTGTATAATGTTTATAGTTGTAATTTTCTGAAACTCTGGGCACACAACTATACTGACTCAGATATTTGCAAATATTATTGAGAAATGAGATTACTTTAGATAACACTACTTCTGTACTGGCATTTAAAGTTTAAACGGTAAGATTTCTAATTTCAGAAAGAAACTATTTATTATGTTTTCTGTGGCACCAAATTTATTTAGGTAACAGAATTTTGTTTGAAATCTCCTTGCTAAAAAGTTAAGTAGGGTTTTAAGGCCACAAGGAACTAAAACACTTCAGTGTATATCACATACTGATAACTAACATGATTTTACTTGCAGACATTCTGCTTGGCATATTTAACTGCTTTTGCATTGTAGTAAATGTTTCCTTTAAAAAATATTTTGTATCTCACAGGGCAAATCATACAAATTCCGGGGCGCATTACCACCTGTGTGGAATCCAATTGCCTACCTAGATTATAACAACCTTTGGCGAACAATAGATGACATGGGAAAAGAGGTAAAGTTTTTAAAAGCTTCCATGATTACATTTGTATTTTTCACAATAAGTTTAGTTCTTAAAAGAAAGAAGATGCAACGTTATCACCAAGGCCTACTACATTGTGTAGCAATGGTAACTCTCAGGAAAGATTTGTGAAATGAATAAATGAACTTGTTTCTAACCTCTAAAAGAACGAGATACTCAGCAGACTGCTGTTTGCATACTACTTGAGAAGGGGGAGAAAATCACATATAATTCGCCCTTACAGGGATGATGTTTCTAATCTAGAAAATCCTCAGAATATAGCAAAATGACTCCTGGGTCTTTGAGTCACTGCCTTACCCAAAATAGTAACCTACAAGAAAATATACACAGAGCTTGTACTGAAACTCCAGTTTAGATGTGATTTTGTATAGCTGTCTAATCCTTATTAACGAGTTGAATTTATAAAGGTCGTCCCTAAATAAGTAACTTAGTAATTGATATTTGGAAACTTACCAATACAACATAGCCTTCATTTACTGTGCAGAAAGTGTTATCATAAATTAAATATGAATCATGTGGTGTAGATAATAGAAAAACTACACAGACAACATTGGCTTTGTAGTAAAACTCACTGTTGGAGGATTCATAAAATTTATATTTTTCTTCTTTTAGTTTTTAATACTATTGAAATAATTATTTAAAGTAGAAATTTATACTTCCCTCTCTGAATCCTCATCTGAATGTAGATTCCCAATGAGGCTCCATGGAAGGCGCCCCTTGCAGAAGAGTGGGACCGCATGACAATGAAGGAACTGCTAGACAAGATCTGCTGGACTGAGTAAGACTCCATTAGACACAGGAATTTATTGTGACTACCTTTTAGATTTATTTAGCATACTACTGAACAGAAACAGGACAAGTAGCTATTTTGTGTCTAAAAGCATGCCATTTGGCAGGGTGGAATGCTAAAGAATATTGGAAATGGGTTCTGTCGTAAAGCTGTCAGAGTTTTGCGTCATGAAGCTGGTATTATCCCATAAAATCCCCAGGACAGACTAGAATGCGGCACCTCCTTTACTTAGAATGCTTAAAGACCATTAGCTTAAAGATTTATCAAGTCATTGAGGTAGGAATACTTTTATGCTTCTCACTGGTGGTCAAGTGTAGAGGTGGTGTGTTGGCATATGGGTTTGAAACTCCTTATGGGTGCAACTATTCAAGGATTTGAAAGAAACTTCTAGACATGTTCTCTGGATAACTTACAATTGTAGAGGAAACATGTATGACTGGATCAACTGCTGTCATTAAATGAAAAGTATGTAGTGTTGAAAGCAAGTATTCATGAGCTAAGCATTAAATTCTGGTTGGCAAAGCTGGGAATTATGTATGAATTGTGGAGTCCATATAGATAGACAAAATGAAGAGGACTCACCGCTCTTGAACAATAAGGAAAATGGAAAGGGTTGTAAGTCCATGAACATAGAGAATTTGTGGTAAACCAAGTAAGTAAAATGAAAGCTAAGTTCAAGGAAACTGTCCTCCCATACTAAACAACATGAGTTGGAAATGTGTTTGGCTCTGGGATTGATGTCTTCTTTCTCTAGGCTTTGGGGAGGGAAGCCTGAATACTGACAACTAAAAATAAATTTTTAGGAATATATGAATCTAAGATATGACAATAATCAAAGACAAAAATTTATATACTTCTTTATATATAAATTTAACTTCTGGGAATTTAGCTTAAAGAAGAAAAGAGAAAAGAATATAAGAAGAAAGGCATACCAGAAGGGAGGAAGGGAGAGAAAGAGAGATTAAAATCACTATTTTTAAAAGAGAAAATGTAAATTTCTAATAACATAAAATTGCTTAAATTAATTATGGCCATCTAAAAATGTAATACTCTACAATGTTTTAAAGTCATATTGTAGAATACAATGTAATGGCTTGAATAAATCATAATATTAAACACATATAAAAGTAGGCTGTAATTGAGTATGTACAGTATGATATGCGTTCTCATTTCCATAAAGGAAACTGTATATACACTGAAAAGCAATAGATATCCAACAAAATGATTTTTTAATCTTTATTTCTCCTTTACATATGTTTTTAATTGCTTTTTTAGAGAGAGAAGAAGGGAGAGAGAAAGAAACATTGATGTGAGAGAGAAACATTGATCGGTTGCCTCCTGGGGTCTGCCTACTGGGAATAGACCCCACAACCTGGGCATGTGCCCTGACCGGGAATTGAACTGGGACCTCTCAGTCTATGGGACAATGCTCAATCCACTGAGCTACACTGGCTGGGCTCAAAATATTTTTTAACACCTAATATCAATACTAACATCCACATCTTTAAAAATGCTTAATCAAATATTATGTTTCATGATTGCATAGTATTCCATGGATAATGAATACCATCATGTATTTATCCATTATTATCCTATTGGTCATTTTAGTTACTTCTAGTCTTTAATTATTAGTATTAATATATAATTATCTGTGATAAACATATTTATGCTTCTCCTATGTCTTTAACTTTTGAAAGCAACCAATTCCGGAATAATAAAATCTTTTTGTTATGAAGTCAATGCCTATTATTAATCATATTCTCTTAAACACTTATCTAATGTTGTTTAAAACTTTTTTGACAATGTAATTTTTAATATAAAATTTTGATTGTAATAAAATTGCAGAATATATTTTTAAATTCTTAATATTAAATTCTCAAAATAGAAAAAAGATGGAGGCAGCAGGGAGGGTGAGTGTGTGAGAGAGTGAGCAAGTGTGTGAGAGTGGGAGCAGACACAAAGGTGGAAGACCAAACTCCTGCACTGCAGAGACTCTGAGCAGAAGGTTCCTGTGCTGTGGACAGGAGCAGCCAGCTACCATGGTAAGCAGCCCTTCAGGGTGCTTCTCCCTGTGCCTCAGGGAGGTCCCACCATTTTGAAAGATCCTGGGTCTTCCCTGGGAGGAGGCAGTGGGAGCAGCTAGGACCCAGCAACCTAATCCTACTAGCGCAACTGGCACCGTCAGACCAGTGGACACTCTGTGTCAACACGGACTAGTGCATAGCAGTGGAGCTCTCGAGGTGCTTGTCGTGGAAGTTGCAGACAGCAGGGAGCCCAGCACCATCCCCCAGAGTAGCAGTCGGATCAGAGTCGAGATATACCCCCAACAACAGAGGCTGGGGAGCAGACATCCATCCCCAGGCAAGAGAAGCAAAGACCAGCAGCTGAGACCCATCCCCAAAATCTGCAACAAAAGCTGAGCAGGAGTTGAGCCCAACAGGGCAGAAACACTCCCCAGCTGCCAGCAGCGGGACTTGGGGTTCCACAGAGGCCTGTGCAGTTCAGTACCACACAAGAGCAGTGGGAAAACGGAGCCCAAGAGAGACATGCGTGATCCAGCTGCCCGCCCATGGGACATGAAGGGTGCGAGGGCACTAGAGAGGCCTGTGTGACCCAGCAGGGACTGTGCAATCTAGTTACCCCCAGAACCTGCGGGGTACTGAAGCACCAGAGAGGCCTTTGTGATCTAGCAGGGACTGTGCCATCCAATTACCCATGGGTCCTGTGGGTGACTGAAGCACTAGAGAGGACTGCGTGACCCACCAGGGACTGTGCCATCTAGTTACCCACGGGACCTGTGGGGTGGTGACGCACCAGAGAGGCCTGTGTGACCCAGCAGCCCATAACATAGGCATAGATCCGGATCCCCGAAAGGACTGTGCGATCCAGTTACCCGCAGGACCTGCAGGGTGCTGGGGTACCAGAGAGGCCTGTGTGACACACCTGTACCCAAGATAGGCATATAGGATGTGAAAAATGGAGGCGGAATGGATAGAAGCTACACAGACAATTGCCCAGGACCAATGGGAATTACAACGAAAATAAAGACAAATTCTCAGAAAAAAAGAAGCAGGACAGGACCATATAACCAGGGACATTGGTAAGATCTGTAGAGGCATGAGACGGTGGTGGGCGGGGAGCTCACTAACAGCAGCAGTCTTAGCTGTGAGCAGTGCCCTTGGGGAATAAAAACCAAGCCAGCTCCACATTGCAGAGAGCTAGAACAGAGCTCTAAAATAGCCACAGCCACTCACCTGGGAGCTATGGCAGAGGAAGGACCGACTCGCCTAAAACTCTGTGGGGACACCCGGGATTTGGAGAGCACCCAGAGTTATTGCTGAGTTGCAGCCAGAAAGGATGGTGGCCTGTGTGCTCCTTTCCAGAGCTGTGGGAAGAACCACCAGCACCCCCCACCCCGTGATGGAGATTCAGCCTTTCCAGGTGAGGCAAAGAAATAAAAATTGAGGCTCATTAAAAACCAGCATCTATCCCACCCTCTTATGCAGAAAACCAAGGCGACAGTCCATGGCACTGAGTGACTGAGACTACTAGCCACCAGGAAAAAGCAAGAGGAAAACTGAAACTTTCCTGGGCTTGCAAATCTACCCAGGAAAGTAAGACTTCACAGTAGTTTTTAACGTGGGCCCACACAGGCTCATTCAAACCCAGCAGAGGGAGCCACAAACAGCAGAACACCAACATCCACAGGGAAAATTTGGCAGGCTCCAAAACCCACTGAGATAGCCAAAATGGTGAAACAAAGAAACAAATCCAAAATGAAAGTATAAGAGAACTCTATCGAAGATGAGATCAATGAAATGCAGTTAAGCAAATTATCAGAGGTAGAGAACAGAGCCATGATCTTGAGGAAGCTCAACAGCATGAGTAACGACATCAGAACCATGAGTAAAGATATAGAAATATTGAAAACCAACCAAGTGGAAATGAAGACTGATATAGCAGAAATTAAGAACACACTGAAAGGACTAACCTCCAGAATAGAGTAAGCTTGAGATCCGGATCAGCGAATTAGAAGACAGGGTAGAAAAAAATCAACCAATCAGAAAACCAAAAGTAAAAAACAATTAAAAACTGGAAGACAGCTTAAGAGAACTGTGGGACAACTGGAAACATAATAACATTCGCATCATAGGAGTCCCCGAAGAGGAAGAAAATGGCAAGGGTTAGAGAATATATTTGAAGAAATAGTGACAAAACTTTCCTAACTTGGTGAAGGAGGAAGGCATTCAAGTTCAAGAAGCACAAAGAACCCTAAGTAAGAAGAACCCAAACAGGCCCACACCAAGACACATAGTAATTAAAATGCCAAAAATTAAAGATAGAATTATAAAAGGAGCAAGAGATAAGAATAAGGTTACCTAAAAAGGAAACCCCATAAGGCTCTCAGTGGACTTCTCAACAGAAACACTACAGGCCAGAAGGGAGTGGCATGAAGTAATCAAGATCATGAAAAACAAGGATCTGAATCCAAGACTACTCTCCCCAGCAAGGCTATCATTCAAAATAGAAGGACAAATAAAGAGCTTTCTGGACAAAAAAGGGCTAAGGGAATATATTAACACCAAATGAGAACTGAAATATATGCTAAAAGGACTGCTCTAATTAGTGGAAGAAATGGGAAGAAAAATACAACCACACTAAACAAAAATGGCAATAAATAAATACATATCAATTATCACCTTAAATGTGAATGGTCTGAATGCTCTGATAAAAAGACACAGAGTAGCTAATTGGATAAGAAAGCATGACTCACATATATGTTGTTTACAAGAGACCCACTTCACAACAAAAGACTCATAGGTTGAAAGTGAAGGAATAGAACAAAATCTTTCAAGCACATAGAAAGCAAAAAAAGCTGGGGTAGCAATACTCATATCTGATACAGTAGATTTCAAAATAAAGGCCATAACTGGAGACAAAGAATGCCACTACATAATATTCAAAAGATCTATCCACAGGATGACATA